AAATCTCTGTATGGATTAAAGCAGTCACCTAGGCAGTGGTTTAGGAAATTTGATTGTTTTATGGTGAATGTTGGTTTTATTCGAAGTTGTTTTGATGGTTGTTTTTACTTTAAGTGTTTGTATGGTGAGTGCTACATTTATTTGGCCTTGTATGTGGATGATATGCTTTTAGCTTGTAAAGATTTTTCTAAAATTGCTAGATTCAAAGGACAGATGAGTAGACAATTTGAAATGAAAGACTTAGGGCAAGCTAAGAAGATCCTAGGAATGAATATTGAAAGGGATAGAAGAAATGGAAAATTGATGTTGTCACAGAAAGAATATGCTGGAAAAGTTATAGGGAAGTTTAACATGAGTAATTCCAAACCTGTCAAAACACCTTTAGGACAGCACTTTAAACTCAGTTATGTACAATGCCCAGAAACAAAAGAAGAAAGGAAGGAAATGGCTTGCATCCCGTATGCAAATGCAATAGGGAGCTTGATGTATTTGATGGTTTGTACCAGACCAAATTTAGCCTTTGCAGTTAGTTTTGTAAGTAGGTTTATGAGTAATCTTGGAAAGAATCATTGGGAAGCTGTAAAATGGGTGCTTAGGTATGTAAGGGATACACTGACCACTGGTATTGTTTACAACAGGGGGCAAAATCAGGGGAATATCATTGTAGGATATGTGGATGCTGATTATGCAAGAAATGTAGACAATAGATAATCCATGACTGGTTTCTGTTTTTCTTTTTCGAATAATCTGGTTTGTTGGAAGGCTAACCTCCAGGCAATAGTTACTCTGTCAACTATGAAAGCAGGATATGTTGCCATTACATAGGCTGTCAAAGAAGCAATATGGCTCAGGGGAGTGCTTGATGAAATGGGATTGAACCAGCAACAGGTTCCAATCAAGCGTGACAGCCAAAGTGCAATTTTTCTGTGCAAAAATCAAGTTTTTCATGAGAGATCTAAACACATTGATGTCAGGTTGCATTTTATAAGAAATCTAATTGAAGATAAAGCCATTAAGGTGGAGAAGATTCCTGGGAGAGAAAACCCAGCAAACATGTTCACTAAGTCTGTTATTTTGGACAAGTTAAGGCTTTTTAAGAGCCTTCTTCACATTGAAGAAAATTAGAAGAAGTTTTAAGGTTGTAAGGAAGGGTAATGATCAAATGTCAAGGTGGAGATTTGTTGTGATGTGGCAATTGACCTATGCCCACGTGGAAGTCAAAATATAACTTGGGTAGTCAAAGTTATTATGTTAAAGACTAAGGGGCAATTTTGTCATATCTAATCTTCAATAAACCTAATCCAAATTCGGTTTTCCTCATTCTGTTTTCTCGAGTTTTCTCTCTTGGTTAATAGAGAGAGAAAGTTTGTTACGAATCTCTGGATGCACTGGAAATCTGAAGAGCGTTGATGGAATCAAACGGTGGTGGTAGGTCTTAGCTGGATCTTTTCCTTATGCTTTCACTTGTGTATAAATCTGTCACTAATGTTGGTTATTGTGTGTGGTGTATGAGAGGTAAGGAGATTTGGGTTTTACAGAGGGATTTTCATCTGGGTTTTGTGAAATGTGTAAAGGGTGAGCGAAAATCTCTGTAAGGTTCTCCATTCTCATAGTAAAATCTGCTTATTGCCCTGAAGAGTGGATATAGGTAATCTGTGTTGATTACCAAACCACTATAAATCATTGTGCCTTTTACTTTCAGCTTATTATTTGTTTTATTGCTTGTGATTTATCTGCTGTGTTGGATGTTGTACTGCTTTGGAATTTTGTTTTGGTCTCTTGTTTGCAACATATATAATAGGTTATGGTTCCAAAAAAGAAATAATATTTTTTTAATTGATGCATTAAATTAGTTAATAAAGTCATTATTATCACTACTATATAAACGGGTGCCAACACGACATTATGGGAGTCGAGAAACATAATATATACAATAATTCTATATAAGTTGGCATCTTATCAAAATATAATATATAAGTTGGCATCTTATATATTATATTTTGATAGCCTCGATATTTACGATTGGGTGTTTCTCTTCTAATAATGATAGTGTTCATTGAGGATATCGCTTTGCAACAACATTTCACCCATACCTTTTCATCACTCAAACAATTAATTTTTTACCTTTTGCTTAATATTGATTTTGTTTGATATTAATATATATTTTATTTTTGAAATTTGTTTTATATGACATAAAAATGAGATTAAAAAATATATATTTGACATACTCGAAAATTGTATTTTTCTCTAATTGCTTTAGTTTTATTTAACTCTTCTAATAACATTAAACCATGTTGAATCTTCTATAGATATTGATATCAAAAAGTATAATTAAAGACTTCAAAAATTGTATGCTACAAATTTGATGTTCATGTTCATTACGAATTTATTGTTAAAAATTCTATATTTGATGATATAAAAATTAATATAATGTTTTAAATAGGTTTTTTTAATTTTAATTTTGATGTTTTAAAGAAAATATTACACATGATATTTTATTAAATTATCATAATCATGTTTGGAGGAAGACTACCTAAAAGTAATCATGTTATAAATGTTAGTTTACCATTATCATGAGATCATAATTTAATAAACTATGTTCTTTTTTCTTTTTTCTTTTTAAATGGGTTAGTTATATTTTCTTTTATAGCATTTTTGTCGACAAAGTTCAAATTGTGTCATTTCAAATACAAAGACCATGAATATAATGGACTGATAGGTGATTAAGTATTTTTCTTAATAAACTATATATGGCTCTTCTTTTTTTTCTTTTTTTCTTTTTTTTGGATAGAATGTATAGCAGTATAGATCTAGTTTGTTTTTGCATGGTTCATAAAGAACATATAGTTGTAGATAATAATTGCCTAATATATTTTAATGGATCTTGATTTTTAAAAATTGAAATTTGTCTTCTAGATTCTTTGTTATCAGGTCTTAAATTCTTTCTTTTCTTTCTAAATCATCTTATATAAGTGTAAGTGCATATCTTCATCAATGATCTATTTGCTTATACATATTCAATAATTTACTTTCTTTTAAAAGGAAAGACAACATTTATTATTCATATCTTAATATTTTAAGCTAATTTGGAAGTAGATTTAAAGCATTTAAGACTTGGATAACAAAAAATGAAGAATATAGATATCAATCTTTATTAATTTAATTAAACCATTAAATATGATTAGGTGACAAATGTTGACCTGAGCCCGAGCCGTTCGAGCTACTTGCAAGCGCCTTGGTTTGAGCCACAACCCTAGTCCCAACCCTCCGGAGCATAACAAGAACGACATGGCCATCCAAGGCGAGCAATCTCTTTTCATTCTCAATCAAAATGCCAGTTGATCCACACCTAGGCCTGTAATTAGAACAAGCCTTAAAGGGGCATCAAACCAAGTTATATGTAGTCCCATTCTTGTCAATTCTGAAGAACCTCACTTCCTGTCCTGTAATCAATAATTAAACTATATTAATATAAATGAAACTATATTAATAATAATTATTAAAAAAACTATATTAATATAAAGTAGCTTATTTATATTAATATAAATGAAAGTGGTAAGATAACTCATGCTAGGAGTTTGTTTGATAGGATGCCTCGGCGTGATTCCATCTCGTGGGTTGCTATGATTGTTGGTTATGCTTGGAGTGGCTACAGTGAAGAGGCTTTGCACCTTTTTGTAGCAATGAAAATTGATTGTGAAATATTCATCAGGATCGCATTTAAAAGTGCTTTGAGCACATGTTCCAATATTTTTGCTCTGGAGTCGAAAAAGTAGTTGCATGGTCAACTGGTTAAGGTTGGATTTGAGGTTGGTTGCTTTGTGGGGAATGTACTCCTTGTAATGTATTGCAATTGTGGAAGTGTAGAAGAAGCATATCATGTATTTGAAGAAACATTAGATAAGGATGTCGTCTCATGGAGCACAATGATTGTTGGTTATGCTATACCCATGGATTTGGAAAACATGCTCCACTCCTATTTGAGTCAATAAAGACAAGAAGTATCAAACTATGTGAAAACACTATAGAAAATTTTGATGTGTCATGTATCTTAATAATATTGAGGCCTTTTGTTGTGAACTTTGGACCCTTTTTTTTTTCCCAATTAATAACATCACACCTCATGTGAATGGTTAATATATAGCCTATTAATTGCTCTAGTGTACCTTTGACTTAGTGAAAACGCTTCTTACTGTCTTCAAATGAAATTATTGTTTTAATATACTGATCTTTTCTACATCAAATAGTTCTTTGATTTAGTTTTTTCATCTATTTTGTAGGTTGGTGTATTTTCTGCTTGTAATCACATTGGCTTGATAGAGAAGGGCACATAGTATTTTTATTCCATGAATCGAGATTATGGAATAATAGACAATTGCAAATATTAAACTTTTATGGTTGATCTTCTTGGTCAAGTTGAACGCCTAGATGAGGCACATAACATAATGAGAAACATGCCTTTTGAACCTGAAGCAACAACATGGGGTGCTTTACTTGGTGCATGAATAATTCATGGCAACACTGAATTAGGTGAAAAAAGTTGCACAGGTGCTACTCGCGAGCGGCTCAGTTTGAATCACAACTCTAGTCTCAACACCCTTGAACACAACAAGAATTGCATGGCCATCCAGGGTGAGTAATCTCTTTTCATTTTGAAACAAAATGCCAGCAAATCCACACCTAGGCCTGCAATTTACACAAGACTCAGAGAGGCACCAAGCCAAGTTATATGCAAACTCATTCCTATCATCTCCTGTAACAATTACTCTTCTTCTCGTCTTACGATCTTCTTCCCCAACCCTTCAGGTTGTGAACTGACTAAATTTAATCCTACTTTTAGATAAAAGATAACACAAAAATAATAATTGCTTATAGGTAAGTAATGATAATTATCATAAAAACTAATAATTTATATTAATATAAATGAAAGACGTGAGACAACTCATACTAGGAATTTGTTTGATAAGACGCCTCGACGTGATTCCATCTCATGAGCTGCTATGATTGTTGGTTATGCTCAAAGTGGCTTGAAAAGGCTTTTCGCCCTTTTTGTAATAATGAAAAGGGATTGTGAAAGATTGATCAGGTTCGTATTTAAAAGTGCTTTGAACACATGTTCCAATATTGCTGCTTTGGAATTAGGAAAGCAGTTGCATGGTCAGCTAGTTAAGGTTGGATTCGAGGCTAGTTGGTTTGTGAGGAAGACACTGCTTGTAATGTATTGCAATTGTGAAAGTGCAGAAGAAGCATATCATGCATTTAAAGAAATATCAAATAATGATGTCGTCTCAAGGAGCATGATGATCGTTAGTTATGCTAGACATGGATTTGGAAAAGATGCTCTACTCCTATTTGAGTCAATGAAGACAAGAAGTATCAAACCAGATGACAAAAGTCTGGTAAATTTTAACGTGTTATGCATCTTAATAATATTGAGGCCTTATGTTGTGAACTTTGGACTCTTTTTTCCCCTAATTAATAACATCACACCTCATCTGAATAATATAATATCTATTAATTGCTCTAGTGTACCTCTGACTTAGTGAAGATGTTTCTTACGATCTTATTGTTTTTATATATGGATATTTTCTACATCAAATTGTTCCTTAATTTAGTTTTTTCATCTATTTTCCATGTTGGTGTGCTTTCCGATTGCAATCACATTAGCTTGATAAAGACAAGAAAAAAATATTTTTATTCCATGAATCAAGATTCTGGAATAACAGCAAATTACAAACATTATACTTGTATGGTTGATCTCTTTGGTGAAGCTGAGCACCCAGGTGAGGGACATAACTAAATTAGAAACATGCCTCTTGAACTTGAGGCAGCAAAATGGGGTGCTTTACTTGGTGCATGCATCATTCATGGGAATAGTGAATTAGGTTAAAAAGTTACACACGTGCTACATGCAAGTGGCTCGGTTCAAGCATAACCCTAGTCTCAGCCCTCCTAAACACAGCAGAAATTCCATGGCCATCCAGGGCGAGTAATCTATTTTCATTTTAAATCAAAATGCCAACAGATCCACACCTAGGCCTGCAATTTGGACAAGCCTCATAGGGGCACCAAGCCAAGTTATATGCAACCTCATTCCTATCAATTCTAAAGAATCTCGCTTCCCATCCTGCAAGAATCAGTCTTCTTCTCTTCTTAGGATCTTCTTCCCTAACCCTCTAGCATGTGGGCTAAGCACATTTAATTAACTATTAGAAAACACATAAATGATAATTGCTTATAAGTATAAAATAGCCAATAATTAATATAATTATATTAATATAAATGAAGTAATTTATGTTAATATAAATGAAAGTTGTGCAGTAACTCATTTTAGGAGTTTGTTTGATAGGATGCATCGGCGTGATTCCATCTCATGGGTTGTTAAGATTGTTGGTTATGCTCGGAGTGACTACAGTGAAGAGATTTTGTGCCTTTTGTAGTAATGAAAAGGAATAGTGAAAGATTGATTAGGTATGTATTTAAAAGTGCTTTTTTATTAGATGCATTTTCTTAGGATACCTATGGCATAAAGGTTACAAATGTGGGGATATTGGAGGGAAAAAGTGCTTATAGCAGAGATGGAGGTTTAATGAAGATGAGTTGGGTGATTGATCAGGAAAAAGTGCAATGCAGCTAGGATAGAGGTGTTTATCTGGATCTAGTGGAGAAATTCCAAATTTGAACAATTTGATTCAGACCTGTTTTAGATTCTCAAACCAGGAGGATAACCTAGCTTAGATGATAATGATGAGTTTTGAAATGACTTACAAAATTATCAATTAGCTAGAGATGAGAAAGAGGAAATTAAACTACCTAGGAGGTACTCACATGCTGATATGTTAGCATTTGCTCTTCAAGTTGCTGAAGAGATTGATGATGAACCTAGAACTGTTAAAAAAGCCATGATTAGTAAAGATTCTAGGGAAGGAAACTTGCCATGCAAGAAAGTATGACTCTTTATAAAAATCAGACTGAATTCTTGTTAACAAACCTAAGCAGTAGGGTGGTTAAGTGTAAATGGGTTTTCAAAAGGAAAGAGGTATACCAGGGGTAGAAGCACCTAGGTTTACCTAGGTGGTAGCCAAAGTTTCACACAGTTTGAAGGAGTAGACTAAATGAAATTTTCTCACCATTTGTGACACACACCACTTCAGAATTCTCTTATCCTTGGTAGCTCATTTTGATTTAGAATTAGAGCAATTAGACATCAAAACAACCTTCTGAATGGTGATTTAGAAGAAAAAATTCGATGGAGCGCCTGAGTTGTTTGAAAAGGGGTCTAACCAAGTTTGTTTGTTGAAAAAATCTCTGTATGATTAAAGCACACCTAGGCAGTGTTTAGGAAATTTGATTGTTTTATGGTGAATGTTGGTTTTTATTCGAAGTTTTTTGATGGTTGTTTTTACTTTAGTGTTTGTATGGTGAGTGCTACATTTTTTTGGCCTTGTATGTGGATGATATGTTTTAGCTTGTAAGATTTTTTCTAAATTGCTAGATTCAAAGGAAGATGAGTAGACATTTGAAATGAAAGACTTAGGCAAGCTAAGAAGATCCTAGAATGAATATTGAAAGGGATAGAAAAATGGAAATTGATGTGTCACAGAAAGAATATGCTGGAAAAGTTATAGGGAAGTTTAACATGAGTAATTCCAACCATCAAAACACCTTTAACAGCACTTTAAACTCAGTTGTACAATGCCCAGAAACAAAAAGAAAGGAAGGAATGGCTTGCATCCCTTATGCAAATGCAATAGGGAGCTTGTGTATTTGATGTTGTACCAGACCAAATTTAGCCTTTGCTTAGTTTTGTAAGTAGGTTTATGAGTATCTTGGAAGAATCATGGGAAGCGGTAAATGGTGCTTAGGTTATGTATACACTGACCACTGGTATTGTTTACAACGGGGCAAAATAGGGATACATTGTAGGATATGTGGATGCTGATTATCAAGAAATGTAGACAAAGATAATCCATGACTGGTTTCTGTTTTTCTTTTTGAATAATCTGGTTTGTTGGAAGGCTAACCTCCAGGCAATAGTTACTCTGTCAACTATGAAAGCAGATATGTTGCCATTACAGGCTGTCAAAGAAGCAATATGGCTCAGGGGTGCTTGATGAAATGGGATTGAACCAGCAACGGTTCCAATCAAGGTGACAGCCAAAGTGCAATTTTCTGTGCAAAATCAAGTTTTTCATGAGAGATCTAAACACATTGATGTCAGGTTGCATTTTATAAGAAATCTAATTGAAGATAAAGCCATTAAGGTGGAGAAGATTCCTGGAGAGAAAACCCACAAACATGTTCACTAGTCTGTTATTTTGGACAAGTTAAGGCTTTTTAAGAGCCTTCTACACATTGAAGAAAATTAGAAGAAGTTCAAGGTGTAAGGAAGGTAATGATCAAATGCAAGGTGAGATTTGTTGTGATGTGGCAATTGACCTATGCCCACGTGGAAGTCAAAATATAACTGGGTAGTCAAAGTTATTATGTTAAAGACTAAGGGCAATTTTGTCATATCAATCTTCAATAAACCTAATCCAAATTGGTTTTCCTCATTCTGTTTTCTCGGTTTCTCTCTTGGTTAATAGAGAGAAAGTTTGTTACGAATCTCGGGATGCACTGGAAATCTGAAGAGCTTGATGAATCAAACGGTGGTGTAGGTCTTAGCTGGATCTTTTCTTTGCTTTCACTTGTGTATAAATCTGTCACTAATGTTGGTTTTGTGTGTGGTTATGAGAGTAGGAATTTGGTTTTACAGAGGGATTTTCATCTGGGTTTTGTGAAATGTGTAAAGGGTACGAAAATCTTGTAAGGTTCTCCATTCTCATAGTAAAATCTGCTTATTGCCCTAAGAGTGGTATAGGTAATCTGTGTTGATTACCAACCACTATAATCATTTTGCCTTTTACTTTCAGCTTTTATTTTTTTTATTGCTTGTGATTTATTGCTGTGTTGGAGTTGTACTGCTTTGGAATTTGTTTTGGTCTCTTGTTTGCAACATATATATATGTGTATGGTTCCAAAAAGAAATATATTTTTTTAATTGAGCATTAAATTAGTTATAAGTCTTATTATCACTACTATATAAACGGTGCCAACACGACATTATGGGAGTCGGAAACATAATATATACAATAATTCTATATAGTTGCTTTAATATAATTATAGTTGGCATCTTATATTTATATTTTGATCCTCGTATTACGATTGGGTGTTTCTCTTCTAATAATGATATGTTCATTGAGGATATCGCTTTGCACACACATTTCACCCTACCTTTTCATCACTCAACAATTAATTTTTTACCTTTTGCTTAATATTGATTTTGTTGATATTAATATATATTTATTTTTGAAATTTGTTTATATGACATAAAAATGATTAAAAAATATTATTTGACATCTCAAATTGTATTTTCTCTAATTGCTTTAGTTTATTAACTCTTCTAATAACATTAAACCATGTTGAATCTTCTATAGATATTGATATCAAAAGTATAATTAAGACTTCAAAAATTGTATGCTACAAATTGATGTTCATGTTCATTACGAATTTATTGTTAAAATTCTATATTTGATGATATAAAATTAATATAATGTTTTAAATAGGTTTTTTTAATTTTAATTTGATGTTTTAAAGAAAATATTACACATGATATTTTATTAAATTATATAATCATGTTTGGAGGGACTACCTAAAAGTAATCATGTTATAAATGTTAGTTTCCATTATCTGAATCATAATTTAATAAACTATGTTCTTTTTTTTTTTTTTTTTAAATGGGTTATTTATATTTTCTTTTATACATTTTTTGACAAAGTTCAAATTGTTCTTTCAAATACAAAGACCATGAATATAATGGACTGATAGGTGATTAAGTATTTTCTTAATAAACTATATATGGCTCTTCTTTTTTTTTTTTTTTTTTTTGGATAGATGTAAGCAGTATAGATCAGTTTGTTTTGCATGGTTCATAAAGAACAATAGTTGTAGATAATAATTGCCTAATATATTTTAATGGATCTTGATTTTTAAAAATTGAAATTTGTCTTCTAGATTCTTTGTTATCAGTCTTAAATTCTTTTTTTCTTTCTAAATCATCTTATATAATGATGCATATCTTCATCAATGATCTATTTGCTTATACATATTCAATATTTACTTTCTTTTAAAGGAAAGACAACATTTATTATTCATATCTTAATTTTCAAGCTAATTTGGAAGTAGATTAAAAGCATTTAAGACTTGGATAACAAAAAAGAAAATAGAATCAATCTTTATTAATTAATTAAACCATAAATATGATTAGGTGACAAATGTTGACCTGAGCCCGAGTCATTCGAGCTACTTGCAAGCGCTTGGTTTGAGCCACAACCCTAGTCCCAACCCTCCGAGCAAACAGAACGACATACCATCAAGGCGAGCAATCTCTTTTCATTCTCAATCAAAATGCCGTTGATCCACCTAGGCCTGTATTAGAACAAGCCTTAAAGGGCATCAAACCAAGTTATATGTAGTCCCATTCTTGTCAATTCTGAAGAACCTCACTTCCGTCCTGTAATCAATAATAAACTATATATATAAATGAAACTATATAATATAATTATTAAAAAAACCATATTAATAAAGAAGCTGATTATATTAATAAATGAAAGTGGTAAGATAACCATGCTAGGAGTTTGTTTGATAGGATGCCTCGCGTTGTTCCATCTCGTGGGTTGCTATGATTGTTGGTTATGCTTGGAGTGGCTACGTGAGAAGCTTTGCACCTTTTTGTAGCAATGAAAATTGATTGGAAATATTCATCACTCCGCATTTAAAAGTGCTTTGAGCACATGTTCCAATATTTTTGCTCTGGATCGAAAAAGTAGTTGCATGGTCAACTGGTTAAGGTTGGATTTGAGGTGGTTGCTTTGTGGGGAATGTACTCCTTGTAATGTATTGCAATGTGGAAGTGTAGAAGAAGCATATCATGTATTTGAAGAAACATCAGATAAGGATGTCGTCTCTTGGACACAATGATTGTTGTTATGCTATACCCATGGATTTGGAAACATGCTCCACTCCTATTTGAGTCAATAAAGATTCACTTGTGTATAAATCTGTCACTAATGTTGGTTATTGTGTGTGGTGTATGAGAGGTGAGGAGATCTGGGTTTTACAGAGGGGTTTTCATCTGGGTTTTGTGCACTGTGTAAAGGGTGAGCGAAAATCTCTATAAGGTTCTCCATTCTCATAGTAAAATCTTCTTATTGCCCTGAAGAGTGGATGTAGGTAATCTGTGTTGATTACCGAATCACTATAAATCATTGTGCCTTTTACTTTCAGCTTATTATCTGTTTTATTGATTGTGATTTATCTGCTGTGTTGGATGTTTTACTGCTTTGGAATTTCATTTTGGTCTCTTGTTTGCAACAAGCGGTATCAGAGCTAGGTTCTTACTCTAGCACCTAGGGTTTATTCTAGGTTGAGAGATCTTTTTTAAATCTGAAGTATCTAGGCTTAGATCTGGTTTATGTTTGCAGCTGCAATTTTTTAGGGTTTCTATTAGTCTCAGGTAAATTGGGGCTTTTATACTCTGGGCATTTGTGAAGGCTAGGAACCTAGAAATGTCTGAGTTTGAGGTGGAGAAATTCACAAGGGATAATGATTACGGATTGTGGAAGATGAAAATGAGGGCTATCTTAGTTAAGGATGGACTGTCTGATACTTTAGAGGGTGAGGATAGTTTACCAGACTCCCTATCTGAGAAGGAGAAGAAAGACCTGTTAGATAAAGCCTACAGTACCTTAATCCTAGGTTTAGGGGATAAGGTCTTAAGAGAAGTTAAGAAAATGACCACATCAGCTGAAATTTGGGAAAAACTAGACTCTCTATACCTGTCAAAGTCTTCTCCTAATAGGTTAGTTTTAAAACAAAATCTGTTCAGTTTTAAAATGGATGAAAACAAAATATTAGGAGCAAATATGAATGACTTTATGAAACTAATACAGGATCTAGAAGGGCTTAGTGTTAAGGTTGAGGATGAAGATCAAGCAGTGATTCTTATTAACTCTCTTCCTAAAATCTTTTCAAATTTTGTGGACACCCTTAAGTATGGCAGACAAACTCTTAAACTAGATGAAGTAGTGGTAGCAATTACTGCTAAGGATGCTGAATTTAAAAAGGAAGGTAAACTAGATGGTGAGGGGTTTTATGTGAGAGGAAGATCTGAAAAGTAAGGCCATAAGAAGGGGAGTTTCAGGGGTAGATCAAAGTCTAAGTCCAAATTCATTAGAAAATGTTTTCACTGTCATAAGGAAGGTCATTTTAAGAGGGACTGTCCTAATAGGAAGAAAAAGTCAGGGGAAAAGGATGCTAGTGGGAGTGTAGATATAGCTTCTCATTGTTATGAGAGTTCTGATGTGTTAGTAGCTTCTGAAAATGAAACTGATGCTGAATGGGTACTTGATTTTGGCTATTCTTTCCACATAACTCCAAATAGGAGTTTTCTATCAAACTTTAAGAAACTAGAGTCTGGAAAGGTTTTGATGGGAAATAATGCAGTTTGTAGAGTCTTAGGAATAAGAGATGTAAGGCTGAATTTGCATGATGGAAGTTCAAAATGGCTCACAAATGTTAGATACATACCAGAGCTAAAAAGAAATTTAGTTTCTTTAGGAAGTCTAGACTCAATTGGCTATAGCTATAAAGCTCAAGGTGGAGTCCTTAAAGTAACTAAAGGGTCCTTAGTTGTAATAAGGGCGAGATGAGGAATAGGCTGTATATTCTAAATGGTTCAACCATCACTGGAATAGCAGTTGTATCATGATATCAGAAGTCTAATAGGACAACTTTATGGCATAGGAGGTTAGGGCATGTTAGTGAAAAAGGATTAGTTGAGCTGAGTAAGCAAAAGGTTCTAGGAGGAGATAAAGTAGAGAAGCTGGTTTTCTATGATCACTGCATTTATGGGAAGATGAATAGAATTAGGTTTAGCGTGGGAAACCACTGTTCTAAGGCTATTTTAGATTATATCTATTCAGATGTGTGGGGACCAACTAAATATCCATCTTTAGGAGGTTGTAGATATTTCATTAGCATTATAGATGATTACTCTAGGAGGTTATGGATT